CGCCCCTCCCCGGCCCCGCCGCCCCCGCCGCCGCCCCCGGCTCGGTCTCTGCAGCCTGAGCCCCGCGGCCCCACCTGCCCGCAGTAGTTCAGACCTTTGCGCACGAGGGCATCGTCCGCAGCTCAGGAAGCGAGAAAAGCGCACGTGACGCAGGCTCCCTGACCCAGACACAGAACACCTGCTCACGGGGGTTGCCGCGTCCAGTGCCGGGGCCCCAGTGCCACCAGCACCGCCAGTGGATAAGACGAAGCTGAGTTTACGGATTGCCGTGGTAAAGAAGTCGGTGGTGTGACCAGAAGGGGAAAGAAAGGCAAGGTCCGAATTTACTGCGAATTTGCAGTTTGGTGTAAGGCTGGATAAGGATGAGATGAGGGTCGTGATGTCATGTTGGAGGGTTGCGGGAACAAAGTCTTAGGGCACAAGCTGTTGTCGCCTCCTTCCTATTGAAGTGTTGATGGGTCTTTTGGGAAGTTCCTATAATGAACAATCCATTTATTTGCCTGGGTAAGAATAAAGTTAGTTAATAAAAAACTGCAAGAGTAAAACCTTATTAATGAAGACAATAATAGCAGACCTTCCTACCATGGAGGTTCTCACCTCTGAGTAGAGGAACGGGGGGGACTGGAGGACAAGACAAGAGGAAGATTTATTCTTCACTGTATGACCTTCTACACTGTTTACATTTTTAAAAACATCCCTGTATCGTCCATTCCAAAAAAGATAATTATACATGTTTAAGTGCATGCGTGTTTAGTATTCTACTTCATCCTAGAGCCTTGTTTGTATTAACACAAACACAATTGTTTATCAAATAAAACTGGCCTGCAGAAAGTTAGACGATGCCTGAGAACACACACACACACCTGTGTGCAGACACACACGCACAGTTGGAGGAGCGCAGCAGGGACTCTTGGTTCAGTCACCCCCATTTCTTTCCCCCAGTGTCAGGAACCAGGGCCTGGGGTCACTTTGGTGCCACCTAGCAGGACTGGCTCCCTTAATAGGAGGCAGGAGGCTGAATTCCTATAATTCACTAGGGACTCTAGGCTTGGTCCCTTTCCCTGCCTAGGCCTGCAGCATTTTGCTGTCTCATAAACCCAGTCCTTGGGTCTGGGTCCACTTGAGACAGGCAGAAGAAAGGCAGGGAGAGCGCCAGGAGGGTACGAAGGAGACCCCTCTGCTCCTCCCTAGCCAGAGGTCTCAGGATGCGGGCCTCCAGCAGGAGAAAGTGTGAGTTAACCAAATCCAGCTTTTGGGAGGCTGGTGACCCATTGTCCTTTGGAAAGAATTTTTGTGTGCCCACTGAGCTGCCAGCCTCCGAGGGGACAGACTGAGTCAGAGGCGGTGTAGGCCCCCGAGCTGGCCTAGCTACTTCCTCTAGAAGACTGTGGCCAGTTTTGTTTGGATTTGAGAACCCATTAATTTAAAATAAACGTGATCAAAATGTAAACAGAGATGTTGCAGCCTAAGGACTTACCCCGAAACTCCTAGGTTAGTTATCAGGAAATTCCCATCAGGTTGTCATGATTCATGTTGCTCTCCAGCCACTCTCATGACTCCGAATTACTTGGCTGGAGGCTGTCATGCTGATTGTCGAGAGCAGGATGACCTCATTTCCTCCTGGACGAAGGCTTGGAGGAGACCGTTATGCAGCATGACACCCCTCCTCTGCCTCCTTCCCCGCCACCTCTTCACCTGGTTGAACAATCCTGGAACCTCTCAATCTTCACAGAACTTCTTTTTCCACTTGCTGATCTTTGCTGCTCTCTGAAATCTCCGTGACTGACCATCTTCTGGTGCAGTCTGTGCTAGACTTTCAGTTCTTTGAGGGCAAAGATCACATCTTATTGTCTCTCCCTCGGCACTTGGTGTATGTCTTATTCATGGAGGTGCTTTATTGTGGATGAATCAGTGAATGAATGAGTAGGAATAGAGAGCTTTGGAGGACCTGAGAGGTTCCCCTGTCTTTTTTTCTTGTCATAAAAAATAGTACTGACTCGTACTGTTTTTTATATCATATTTCTGTCCTGTGCTTACAGGACTTTGATGTAGACCATTCCTCTTTAAACTCAAAATTTGTGATTTTTGGGGGTTTTTTTTTTGTCTTTTTTTCATGTCCAGCAACGGATCGCAACCCTCAGTGTCGCGCCCGTACCGGAGCGGGACTGGCAACGGGATCGCAACCCTCGGTGTTGCGCTCGCACCTCACTCAGCCAGTGAGCGGGAACCGGTCTGTATGTGGGATCCGAACCCTCGGCGGGAGCGCCGCCGCGCTGCCAAGTGGCGCACTGTAGCAGTGCACCACCGGGCTGGCCCCATTGTTTTTGTTTTTTGGAAGTTGGCCTGTATGGGGATCCAGACCCTTGACCTTGGTGTTATCAGCACCATGCTAGACCGGGATTGTTATTTCCATTTTGCAGATGAGGACAATGAAGTGGAAAGAAGAGACATAGCTGATAAATGGCAAAGCCAGCACTAGAGCCCAGGTCTTCTTATCCTTAATCCTGTATTCGATACCTCACCGTCTCCATAAAGAAAGAGAATGCTGTGGAGGTCAGGGCCAGGTGATGTGAGTTGTTCCATCTCACGACATCTTACGTCTCCTGCTGGCTTTGGAGAACTCCTTTCAGAAACACTGCCTGGACTGTGGGCTGTGGGCTCCTAGGATGCCCTCCCTGTAATATGAGTTAGTTGCTAGCCTGTATTTTAGGAACTTACTTTGTGATCTAGGCGATCTGAAATTTCTACTGAGGATGAGAAAATAAGGAACCAAATGTGTAGGATTTTGTACTTTTCCTGGTTCCCAGAGTGAAGCCACCAACACCCTGTCTCTGTGTCTCAGGAGTCCCAGCCTTCTGAGTCAGATGTGGCAACAACTGATAGAAGGGCCCCCTTTCCAGGAGCTGCTTACAAAGGGACAAGCAGGTGCCAGGTGTGCAGGGGGCAGTAGGTGATGCTGGCCTTGAGACTGTGTCCAGGAAACCGGGCCCCTGAAGGGCTATTTTCTGACCAGCTGGACCCAAAGGGAAGTTCACATTGAGTCATAAGATGTATTCCCGGGTTGCTGTACTAAGACTGTTCAGCGAGGTGTGTAGAAAGACCACAGTGTCTAGCCTCGAGTCTACCACATCCAAGTTGAACGATTTTAGGCAAATCACTTGATTCTTTTGATTTGCAAAATGAAGCAACACCTGCCCTGCATTGTGCCTCACCTTGCAGATTGAATGAGACAAAGTTTGTGAGCAAAAGCATTCATTATTCCTTTATTCATTCATTCATTCAGATCACTTGATTCTTTTGATTTGCAAAATGAAGCAACACCTGCCCTGCATTGTGCCTCACCTTGCAGACTGAATGAGACAAAGTTTGTGAGCAAAAGCATTCATTATTCCTTTATTCATTCATTCATTCAGTATTTATCATGGGCCTACTATGTGCCAGCCATAGTTCTAGACACTAATGATAGAAGGATGAACTTTATAAACTATAACTCTGACCCTGAGTGCCTGTCCTCCCTTCCCTACTGTGGCTAGATTGGCCCAGAAGATCAGGTCATGCTGGAGTCCATCCCGGGATTCCAGTTACGTGGGGGTTCCGTGTCCTTAGCAAGTAGTTCCCAACAACCAGGCAGCTGGGACGCACAGCTGCACGCACTGCTCGCCCCACAGCCCCACTCCCAATGCTCCCCCTCCTCTCTGCAGTCTGTGGGTGGCCCGAAGCGCTTCTCTTTTCCCTCCTACACGTGGGTCAGCAAGTTCTGGGAAGGAGGCACTGAACATTGGCCACCTAGCTTCCTTGGGTCTGAGGATTCCCTTCTCCCTGCATGTTTAGTGTCAATGGTGAAGCTGGCCTGGCAACAGCAGGCACTGAAAGTCATGTCTGGGCCCGTAACATGATAGGGGAGGTGCTGGACTTGCAAGGCCCCCAGTGGCCTGTGGAAAGGGGTGGAAGGAAGCCACATACTTGCTACCTTAGTCATGGAAAGCAAAGAGCCCAGGCACTGGACCCTGCGGTTATACTCTGTTGTCAACAGCACCACGAAGGGGAGACCAAGTCGATCTCTCCAGCTTCAGCCTATGACCCCCCTGACCTCTCTCGCCCTTTCCTGCCTCCCCCTCTCTGGCCTGACTCCTAGCCCCACCCAGGCCAGTCAGCTCAGACCTCTGGGTGAATGTCTTGAGTCTTGGCCAGGTTATTCTCTGTCCCTAACCCACACATGGTTACTACCTAAGTCAGGAACTTATCACCTTCAACGAGTGTTGGCCGTGGCCCTTCCAGGCCTTCTGGATTCTGAGTCCTCCGCCAGGAACCTAAGTCAGGCACTGGCCCTAGAACGTCTGTGTAGAGTTCAGGTCACCACGCTGAGTGGCAGTGGATGCTTCACTGGAAGCTAACGGGCGTACCCAGAAATAAGGGCTGGGATGGGAAATAGGAAACTGGTGGGTTTGCTGAAAACTGCTGAGAAGTCAATGACGTTTAGGGAAATATGTTCAGTCAGGAACCGAAATACTAAAAATTCCTGTTCAGAAGAAAACCAACATAACATCCATAGCCCAGATGATATATGATTTCATGGGCTCATGGCTCTCCCAAGCTGGGTTCTATATGCTGGATTCTATATGCTTCTCTGTCTTTAACACAAGTGTAAGCACTTCCCCTTCCATTACAAAGCGAGGAAAACAGAGGCTAAGGAAGGGAAGTGAATCATCTGAGTTCATTCACTAAAAAATGATGAGATTCAGAATTCATAGATTTTGAGGAACTTCATGACACATTTCCCCCCTCTCCCCTTCTATTCTGAATCCTCGGCTCCTCCCTTCCTGACCACCCTCCATCCCCACCCTCAGTCTCTTTTCCTTCCCTACCCACCTGCAGAAGGTGCTGCTTTGCTCCAAGCAGGGACTGATAGTTTGATGAGCCTCTGGGGAGGGTTTGGAGGCAGCCTAGTCCTGTGGAGAGAACAGTCTCTTTTCAGAAGGAGCTATAGACAAAATGCATGGATATCTGTGGGAAGAGGGAGCAGGAACCCAGCAGGGACCCTGGAGATATGTTCAGGGTGGGTGTGAGGAACAGTATGTGGGTGATCTGGCCAGGATGCACCGAGTTTGCTCAGGGGGCAGCGATGGTGGGAAGTGTGGCAGGAACTAAAGAGGGTATGATAATCTATCTCTTGTTAAAGACAGATAATAATAATAGCCAACTTTTTTTTTTTTTTTTGTCCTTTTTTTGAGACCGGCCGCACCACGCTCAGCCAGTGAGCACACCGGCCATCCCTATATAGGACCCGAACCCGTGGCGGGAGCGCTGGAGCGCTGCTGCGCTCCCAGCGCCGCACTCTCCCGAGTGCCCCACGGGCTCGGCCCAATAATAGCCAATTTTTATTTGCATGACATTCATTTTCATTTCAAATCTTAACAACCCCCTTTTAAAAAGGAGGTACTATTAATATCATTTTATGAATGAGAAAACTGAGGCTCATGGAATTTAAGCAATTTCCCCAAAGTTACACTATAGGTAAATAGTGGAGCTGAGACTCACACCCAGGCCTGGTTGATGGCAGGGTTTGGAGAGTTGTCTCTGAGGCAGTATCACATTCACTCAAGAAGGTGGGGATGCTTGTCCTTATAGCTGGGAATCTTCCTACTTTTTTTTTTTTTTTCCCTTTTTGTCTTTTTTCATGACCGGCAACGGATCGCAACCCTCTGTGTTGCGCCCGCACCTCGCTCAGCCAGTGAGCGGCCGGTCTGTATGTGGGATCCGAACCCTCAGCAGGAGCATCGCTGTGCTCCTAAGCGGCGCACTGCAGCAGTGCGCCACCGGGCCGGCCCAGGAATCTTCCTACTTTTAATCCACGGTGACATCCCGGGGTAGCTCCTGCTGTCCAAGCTGTCTACATTGGTTCCTGCCTACCCAGCTCGAGCCAGACTTTGATAGAAAACCTTCTCGCTTTTGCTTAATACAGCCAGCCACAGTTGTGTCTGCTGGGTCTAGTCAGCGAAGTGATGATTGGGTCTTCTGGCTGTGCTTATATATCTTTGTGGATCCGTTTTTTACAACTATTATTCACTCTTATTTATATGGTAGGGATTCTTCTGTGGGGAAATTACAATAGCATGCGTCGTATTTAGCAGGCACTGGGCTAACAGATTTTTATGCATTATCTCATTTAATCCTCAGTGAAGGAGGACCTTTCCGTTTGGGGACTAAAAGAGCTTGGGGAATCAGAGTAACTGTCAAAGTCACAGCAGTGGATTCCCTAATGTTAGGTTCAGCAAGATGGAGAAAAGAGAGAGAGACCCGAGCCAGGCGCCATTTCAGCCAAACAGCTTTACTCCACAAGCATGGAGGGGAGACCAAGTCAGATCAGTTCCCAACCCCATACAGACTAAAAAGGTTTTATAAGGTTTGAATTAGAGGAAGGGTGTTGGGAGGTCATTTTTGTGTAAGAATCTGTTTTGCATAAATTCCAGTTTTTCTCAGAAAGCAAGAGGGTAGGGGGTGGGAAGTTGATTAACATGGCTGTGCTGATGTTAAAGCTGGCCATGAGACCTCATACCTAAGTCCTCCCCAAGTTCTTGGGGGAGAAATTAGCTCCCCAAGACCTCAGCAAAATTGGAGGAAACTAAGAAGAGTTTAGAACAAAGCAGGGTTGAGAATACCTGTGTGTACTGGTACCTCTCTGTCTGTGGTATTTCCTCACAGTCCGTGTACTGGCTCACTTCTGAGCTTCTCAAGGTCAGTTATTTTTCTGTTTTTATTTCTAGGGTCTTCTGGTTCTACCTGAATAGAATTGGGTTTCCAGAGCATTGTGCCTTTGCAGGGATGCTAGAAATACCTGCAGCAGTGTACCCAGCAGCCTGTGGGATGACCGGAATATCTGCAATCTTAATCAGATAGGAAGCAAGGGTGGCATTATCCCCATATGGACTCTCTGCTCCTCCACGTAGTGTCCTGGAGATGTGTTCAGTCTGTGTCATGGCAGTCAGCTTCTTCCATTTGTAAAGAAAATTCTATCTCAAGTACTAAAAATAAGTCTAGAGCTCAGTTCAAACTGTTAATTTCAGTCAATCAACCCGCAAGTACTTTCAGATCCCTAAGGCATGCCTAGCACTGTGCTAGGCCCTGAGGGCACCCAGAAGAACAGGACAAGATCTCTGTCCTGAAGACGTTTGAAATCTGGTTAGGAAGACAAAATGAATTTTTTTTTTTCATAAAGATGGCCGGTAAGAGGATCTTAACCCTTGACTTGGTGTTGTCAGCACCACGCTCTCCCAAGTGAGCTAACTGGCCATCCCTATATAGGGATCCACACCCGTGGCCTTGGTGTTATCAGCACTGCACTCTCCCAAGTGAGCCAGGGCCAGCCCGACAAAATGAATTTAAATGAAACAATTAAGCCATTAAGCAGGATGGCTACTATTAAAAAAAAAAAAAAAAAAAAAAAAAAGGG